CCCCCCCCCCCCCCCCCCCCCCCCCCCCCCCACCCTTCTGTAGGATTATACCTCCACTCTGAACCCGGCTGGCCAGGCTTGTTTTAACAGCTTAGTGCTTGCTGGGGGAGGGAAATCAGATAGCGGCTGGAGCATGGAAAAACCCCATAATGGGGTAAAAGCTTGGTCAGGGAAGAGTGAGCAAACATGCCTCTTGTTTTTCAGGCGGGTTCTCGAAGTGCCCTGTGCTGTCTCACTCCAGGAGCCTAAACAAAGGACTTGTGTGATTTCAGATGGGGAAGGATCAGCAGGAGTCGGTGACTCTCCAGCAGCATGTTCTGTTTTCATGCAGATGTCCTTGTTTGGAAAGAACAAGGCAAGAAAACCACTCAGGACGAATTGATTAACACTGTGCCCCGCTAGCCTCTTTCTGCCCGAGCTCGAATGACTCTCACAAACAGCTCCTTGAGCCTCACCCCCCTCGGAAAAGTAGGCAGGAGGAGCATGTTGCACTGGAATCACTTTACTAGTTTCCCAACTCTTGTGAGAGCTGGTGGTTTTCTGAAAGCCCCAGCTCCTGGAGTCATGTCACTAGGTAAGAAACGTTTTTCATTTAAACAAACTTACCCTTCTGGTTGCGGAGAGAAGCTTGCCGATGACACTTGAGTACAGCTGAAAGGCTCAGAACCAGAAGATTTTAAAAAAAATCCAAAATATATTACTTTGGACTTAAAAAAAAAGTTGTTTTTGTTTTCTTTTTTAACTCATCATCTGGGGGAGCCTGGCTCCTCATGGGTTTTGAATGCTGTGGGTTGACACTACTGCTTTCATCACCACTGAGATGCAGCCAGCTCTAGGGTAGAACTGCAGAATAGCTTCCCATGACCTGTGAAAGTCAGATGACTAATAAGCAGCGCTTTAAAGGTGTGGAGCACCCGTGGCGCCCTCCTACCCCCACCAAAAAACAAAAACAAAATCCTGCTGATTAAGCCAATCGTTTTATGAAAATGAGGTCATAAGAGCACAAAGTCAGCTGTGATTTCTAAGCAGGTACAGCAAGAACAGTTTTTGGTTACACATGCCAGAGGTGCACAGACATGTTACAGAGAGCCAGAGGCTTTGACACTCCTGGGAGTCTTAGAATTCATAGTGCAGTGGTGAAGAGAAAGCTCTGTACTGGTGACTTGGAAAAGTGCATTTTAAAAAAACAAAAACAGCGTTTTCGCTTTATGATGTACAAACGCCTGAAAATTATTTTTGAACTTCTATTGGGTTGGGTGGGTGGCCCTGTTTTAAGGATTATTTTAAAGAAATGTCAAAAAAGCCCAGACTTGATACTTGGTTTTGGTTTGGTGTTTTGGGGGGGAGGGGAGTTTCTGGAGGTCTCCTCGGAGAACTAGAGAGCTGAAGTGGGTGTTTCCTCCTCCCTCTGTGGAGGAAAATGGATGGTGAATGTTTCTCTCTCTCTCCCATGTATTGTAGGAGCGTGAGTTTAAGTGTTAAACTTTTCAGGCCTCCTCTCTACTATAAAAATGCAAAAAGAACCCACAATTTTTTGCTTGGCGGGTCCCTTAGGAATCCTGTCCCTGTAGCTGAGGGTTTCCTATCATGCTCAGCACTGAAGTAGCTAGGTGCTAGCTTCTACCTGCATTCCAAAGCACTGGAGCATGGAAGCTTCAATAAACCTGACATGGGAATCAAATTATCTTGCTAGTGACTCCAATACAAAGCTGAGATACGTTAGTTAAGCAATTACCCTTCTTTAAAGAGGCTGGGAATGAGACCTGGGCTCATTTTCCAGTTCTGCCACCGACTGAAGGGACTTGCCAAAGTCACACAGCCCCTCTCTGTCTCGCTTTCCCCTGCTTTAGTCTGCCCATCTTTCAAATGGGGATAATGATACTGGCGTGGCTGATTCAAGAGCTGTGGGATACATCAGTTGTCCCACAGGGCTCTGTAACCTCTCTATATGCAGCACTAAAGAAATGCAGCCATCTCTGGAGTGGGGAAGTAGCAAGTGCACAAGACCCTGTATAACAATTGGGAGGGGATTTGGCCAAGGACATCAGCAAATTCCTGGTCTTGCATGCAGTGCTGGGGGATTTTATTGCCCATGAAGGACAGGCAGGACCTTGGTTTTCAAGGACAGCTTACAGACCTAACTCCAAGCCTCTTCTCTGTTGGTCCTTGCCTTGGTTAAGTGCTTTGATTTGTGGCTCTCATGCCTGTGGCCAATACCAGGTGTAACCTATAGTGAAGGGGTAAGAGCCCTGCTCTCACCAGTGTGGCTTTTAAACCCATTTTGCTGTATTAAGCATTTGCAAGGGAGTATTTGGGTGTTGACCTCTGGCTGGAAGCGACTGGCACTGAAGCCCGGCTGCTTCCCAATGGGGGGTGGTTTGTCAGCCACTGCAAGTAAGTGGTTTAACATTGCCAACAGCAAGAGTGAGTGATCTAGTGACGCAGTGCCAGAGGCGGGCACGGCATGCTACAGAAATCAATGTGCTAGGCTCTGTAGAGCCACACATTCTGCTGTTTAGTATGTGCTTGACTGTACAGCTGAATCAAGGCCTTAAAGTCCCATTGATGTCATAAGCATCTGCTTTGCTGAATCCAGACATCAGCCTCTGAGCTGCAGGCTTGGTCGGAGCTGCTGCTTCTGCTGCAAGCCCAGAGGAAGTGTTCCCCTGGCCTGGAGTGTTAGTCTTTGCTACTCTTCCCAGTGGCTGGGGGTTAGTTTGTTGCTCTGTCTCTGAGGTCAGGCATCTCTGCTCCTGTCTCCTGGGCCAAAAGGTCATGGCAGAAGTCACTGGAGCTCTCAGATCAAACGAGAGGAAATAGCTCCTGGGTCTGGGGGCCTCTCCTGGGCTTGCCTGATGCATGTGGAAACAAAGGTTCTTGTCAGCCCTTTATCCTCCGTTTGCTTTTGATCTTTGTGACCTGTGTGTGAGACATCTCAGGAGTGCGTGTGAAACAGGGCTGCCTTGGGAGACTCTCCTGGCCAGGGCACTGGGGCTACACTATTTAGCCAGTTGGGCTGTTGAGAACCAGTGCTGCGCTCCCGTGCCTGGACCTGCCTGAAACAGTCTCTGCAGCAAACTCCCAGCTTCCTTTCCTTGCTGTTACTAGCAAGCAGATGATGGGGGAGCTGAACTCAGGTGGCGATGCCTTTTTCCCCCATTCAGAAATACCCCAGGTGGCTATGCTGCTCTCTAGCTGGGATTGTGTGCTGCAGCTTGAGCTGGGATCCACTGTCCCGCCACCTGCTCCCTCTCGTGCTTGGTTAGGGTGACCAGACAGCAAGTGTGAAAAATTGGGATGGGGGTGGGAGGTAATAGGAGTCTATACAAGAAAAAGACCCCCAAAATCGGGACTGTCCCTATAAAATCGGGACATCTGATCACCCTGTGCTTGGTGGCTCTTTGTAAGAGCAGTGGCCTCAGTGAGGATTAACCCTTTGCACTTAGTGCTTCTGTTTGCAAAGCGCTCTGCAGATGCTAATTGCAGGTCCCCCTTCTCCAGCTGGGGAAGATGGGGCCCAGAGACAAGTGGCTTGCAGACCTGGGCTGTCGGACCCGTTCTCTGACTGGGGGATTTGTTGGTTGCCCTTACTATGGACGTGTGGATGGAGGTGCCAAGGCACGTCTCCCTCACACACTGGACTGTTGTTAGTCCAGCAGCGGCACCGGGCCATGGCGTTCACAGGCTAGAAGTGGTGCAGACATGCAGAGAAGAGTCCCTGATGAACTCCCAGCCTAGGCTGGAGGCAGCC